CAAACTACTTTCATTACGTGCTATATCATACCTCATATATTTATTTATCCTCTTTTTCATAAAATATGTATTACTTATTACCAAACCTCTGTCTACACATGGCTCAATTAAAGGCTCCCCATTTTCATTTACCCCTTGCACCCCAAATTTACCTACTACTCCCTCCACAAAGTTTTTACCCACTTTAGCATTGAAATCCCCAACCACAAGTACTCTCACACTTGGTTCAAAACTCCCCACTCAACATTTCCCAAAATCTCTCTCTTTACTCTACACTTCTCTCTTCTCCAAGTGCATATACTATAACCCACTTTTCACATCCAGCCTTTATTTTACACCACATAATCCTTGAATTAATACATTTATAGTCCCTCTTTTCCTGCCATAGCTTATTCTTCAACATTATAGCTACTCCTTCTTTATCTCTAACTCTATTTGAAACCCCTGACCTAATCCCATTTATTCCTCTCCACTGAAACTCTCCCACACCCTTCAGCTTTGTTACACTTAAAGCCAGGACATCCAGCTTCTTCTCATTCATAACATCCACAATCATCTCTTTCTTATCATTCACACAACATCCACGCACATTCAGACATACCACTTTGACAATTTTCTTCTTCTTATTCTTTTTAGTAATTATTACAGGAAAAGGGGTTACTAGCCCATTGTTCCCGGCATTTTAGCTGACTTTTACAACATGCATGGCTTACAGATGAAAGATTCTTATTCCACTTCCCCATGGATATAAAAGGAAAAGTAATAAGAACAAGAACTATTAAGATAAAATGAAAGAAAACCCAGATGTGTGTGTGTAAATAAACATGTACATATATGTGTAGTGTGACCTAAGTGTAAGTAGAAGTAGCAAGACATACAGTGGAACCTCAAAAATCGAACTTTCTTCGGTCCAGAAGGCTGTTTGTGTGCTGCTACTGAACGAATTTATTCCCATCAGGAATAATGTAAATTAGATTAGTCCATTTCAGACCCTCAAAAATACACTTATAAAAGCACTTACAAAAATATACTTGCATAACTGCTTGAGTTCGGAGCAGTTCGATTTTTGAGGTTCAACTGTACCTGTAATCTTGTATATTTATGAGAGACAAAATACACCAGCAATCTTACCATCATGAAAAACAATTACAGGCTTTCGTTTTACACTCACTTGGTAGGACGGTAGTACGTCCCTGGGTGGTTGCTGTCTACCAACCTACTACTGGTGGTGGCGGTGGTGGAGGTGGCGGCGGTGGAGGTGGCGGCGGTGGCGGTAGCAGTAGTAGTAGTAGTAGTAGTAGTGGAGGTGGAAGGAAGTAGAAGTGGGGAAGTAAGGAGGAGGAGGAGGAGCCAGTCAAATACTAAAAAGAGGAACACTGCAAGGGAGCTAGGTGCCCACAGAGGGTAAGAGCAAGAACACAGAGGGGGGAAATAAAAAATAAAAGAAGGAAGAAAAACACAAGGCAGAAGAAAGACAACCCAGAGGAGAAAATGGAAAGAGGAAAGGGGAACAGGGAGAAGAAGAAAAAGGAGGAATCAGGTTAGGTTAGGTAAGCTCCTGTCTTCTATGTGCGGTTTATTTGTGTATCATTCCAGTCACGGTATTGTGCCTTTTTTTGTTATTAATGTTTTACGTTCTATGATGGTACTCGGAAATTTGTTCCACTCATCCACAACTCTATTACCAAACCAGTGCTTTCCATATCCTACCTGAATCCTGGGTTATTCATTGCTTGTGCAATGAATAACCCAGGATGTCATCTGATTTACAGACCTACTGACTTGATTGATTTACTGAATGATTTGGCTGATTTACTGCATGACTTGGCTGATTTACTGAATGACTTACTTGACTGACTGTGGCATGCAAAGTGTACGTAACCTTTATTCGGCGTATGTACACACCCTCATTTACAGGCTATCTCCCCCAACCAGCAAACCAGGGAACTAAGGGTTGGCGATGGGGCCCTGTTATTCAACCAGTACCAGGTTCCAGCCAATGAGAAGATGGTTTTGGCAATCGCAGAGGTTATGTGGGTACCACTCTCCTGTCTGCCCTTGTCATTCCCATTCTAGAGCTGGTTGAAGCACGGTCTGCTCTCTAGTGGCTTCTATTCTGCCTTGCTTACCATGCAGTGCACTAATACCTATTGTTGTACATAGTGTATATAGTGTACACACTTCTGTTCTAAATTGGTGAAGGATAATATAAGTCAAAAGTTTTCTGCTGTGTTTATTTTGCTCCCTTTACACCCAGGATAACAGGCCTTTGGGACTCCTGGGTTGTAATATGGGTAGCCTGTCTGAGAGCTGGAGCTGGACTTAGAGAACGGGTTGAGCCTAGGGTGAAGCTGGAAGCAGGAACATTGTGTAGCTTGCTGTCCAGCACTGCATTAGCTTTGCCAACGCTTTACAAACTTTGCGTGTCAATTGCTTTGCTATGGTCAGCCTTGCTATTGTATGATCGTTCAACAGCTCGCTACTAGCTTGTTCGGTGTGAAGATTTTGCAGTCAGCTTTTCTATTGCGTATCCACCTTGTAAGCGTATGCATATTCTGCAATCGTACTGTGCATAGATAAGCATCTTCTGCTTATCTCATTTTCTTGGTCTCATTTGATAGAATGGAAAACATAGAAATAGAGGTGATTTTGATTGGTTTTACTATGAAAAGAACCTTGAAATGGAGCTCAAAGTAGGAAAAATGTTTGATTTTTGCAAATGTTCAAAAGTAAACAAATGATGTCATTGTCCAATAAATGTCCAACTAGCCATTCTAATATGCAGTCATGAATGGGTTGACATTATTTATACAATTATTACAATACTGCAGTATTCTGCATAACAGTAAATCTTCTATTTCTTGTTTGAATAAAAATTCAAAATAGAAAGCAAGAGTAATATCAGAGGGGCCTGGAGACGTGACTGATGAACAAAAAATGTTATTTTAGAGCCAGGAATGTCTGCATTGTTCATTCTGGATAGTATTTTGAAATTGGAATATTTTTTAATTTGCGTGAAATTGGCCAAATTGCAAATTTCTGACCATATTATTGGGTAGTTGAAATCAGTAAATGTGCAGTTTCTTGTACTCAATCAATAGAACAAATGGAGTTCTAAAGAAATAGCTATGAGTTTGGTCGACTGGAACAATGGAATTAGCTGAAAATAGGGCTCAAAGTGGGCGAAATCGCCGATTCGTAAATATCGCCAAGGTTGCTAACTTCGTGAGAGCGTAATTCCGTAAGTTTTCCATGAAATTTCATTATTTTGGTGTCATTACCATCGGGAAAAGATTCTCTATCATTTCATAAGAAAAATTATTTTCTTTTTTTCAAAAATTTTTCAACACCAGAAGACACCTCAGGATTTGGGGTTTCGACAGTCAAGAGGTTAAGACGTCATCGGATTAAGTAACGTTTTTATGTCAAAATATTGGCTCAGTTAATGGCACTGAACTCGGTTAAAGTCATTTGTCCTGAATGTGTCTCCATGGGGTGAGCAGCCTGGACACTCCATGTACAGCCAGTGTGCCAATGTTTACCAGCCAGTCAGGACGATTCCACACGCACATGTGATACATTTTGTATTGCGTGTGCGATAGTTTTTTCTTGAATTCTACTGTTTCTTTCCTTCTTTACCACATGGCTGGCACTAGAAGCTTTCTTTGGGCCCATGGTGGCTTATTTAGCAGTTACAAGCACTAAAAAAATGGAATACAAAATATATCACATGTACACGTGGAATCATCCTCTCTGGCTTGTAAACAATGGCACACTGGCTGTACATGGGCTCAGGTTGCGAGGACATGTTCGGGACGAGTGTCCTTAACCGAGTTCTTGGGCGTTAGCCGAGCCAATATTTTGATGCAAAAACGTGGCACTATCCGATTTTGGCATTAGCCGATGACACCGTTACCTGAGGGTCCACTGTAAGTCTCGTTGTTTGACTTTATTGGACATGCACCTAAAGTCAGTACTTGATCAGCCGACCTGTGGTTCGTACATCGGTTTACATGGAGCCAGCAATAACAGCCTGGTTGATCAGACCCTGATCCACCACGATGCCTGGTCTCAGACCGGGTTGCGAGGGCATTGACCTCCGAAACCCTCTCCAAGTATACTCTAGGTAAGTGCAGCAAGTAAATAGGAATGGCTACCATTAAGAATTTTCTACATAAACTCTGCATATAGTCAAGGACAGGCAAATGCTTGTCAGTGTATTAAAATAAAAACAATTATTAAGTGGGGCTCAACAGTCTATGGCATGTATTCAGTTGAAATAATGTATGTACTGTATTCTGTGGAAAATGACAAAGGCCTAAGAGTATAATGCACCATTAACTAAAAGTATTTCAACTCGACAAGCAGGAATAGCTACAAAAATATTAATTTAAACACTAGGAATGATCAAATATTCTTTTGAATACAAGAACAAGAAAATTATAATTCATCTCTAGAAACTCTGTGCTGTATATCTAATACATACTAGACTGCTGCCTGCAAATACAGGAACTACACCTTCACAACTAGCAAAGTAAATGTTTAACACAGGGAGACCAAAATCATCACAAAATTAAATCAGTTTGCTAATGAGAATAGTTTGATGGCTAAAGTACTAGCCATTTTTCAAACCAGACATGACATTATGCAGATCTGGTATACTGAACAGAGTAGAAAACCTAAACCTTTGCAATTTCTTGAAATTATTTAATACTACACAAAGAAGGTCCAATTTTAAACTTGCAGAATATCTTCCAGAAATAACAACAGGAAGTATTTTTTTGTACACAGTATTGCCTACCCATGAAAAATCTCACTAAATGAAATGGAGGGGAAGATGGTTCAGAAGGAAGAGAAAGAAGGACACTTATGATAGTTGGAAGGCAGATATACATAGTTGAAATTTAGTTGTACTATATCTAAATCATATCTCAGCACATTAATTAATATCTCAAAATATAGCTTATTTGATCACCAACAAAAGAAAATTAAAGTCATACTTTATTTTAACCTGTGCCATTAAAAATGTCTCGGAAGAATTTGGAATTCCCATTGCTGGTCCCAAGGCCGCTGCATCTCCCACCATCGACATGACTGATGCACAGCTTCCGGTAGGTCTGTTAGGAACACAAACAAAAGTATGTAAATGAAAGAAGGTTATTTTTTATTTAGTTACAGCAATACCTTGCACAGTACTGTTAATGCATGTCAAAAAAATACGTACTGTACTATGCAATATTGTACTGATCATCACAACCAGGATATAAAGTCTTTGGAGACTTTATATCGTGGTTGTGATGATTCTTTATCCACCAAATAAGTGTATGACAGAATCTTCCAAAACAAACCCAATTCATCTATGTTAAAAATTTGCTCATCTTCATAGCCATTTTCTTCAATCAATTTTTTAGATCATTAGAAAATCTTGCAGCTGCCTCATTGTCTGCAGTAAAACCAGCCATGACTTGCCAAAACACTTTCCCTTTCATTGCCAATTTCTTTTTTTAACATTGAAAAGAGACGTTTTGCTTTAACTTGAATCATCATCTAGCTTAATGGAATTCTTCTCTGGGTGCAGTGTTCAACCCATAACGTTAAAAAATCTTCCATATTATCCATTTCAGAACTACAATTTTTAACCATCACTTTTGACACATAAGATGCTGTAGCCATTCCACGTCTTTTTATTTTATTTTTATTCCTCATATGTGTATGTACTGATGCTTCATTCATTTTCCTGTCATGTTATTTTAGCATGCAATACACCATTTTCACGTTGTCATACATTTTCTATTTTTTCATCTAATGTTAACCCTTTCACTGTCGGTGCTGTATAGATACGTCTTATGAGCCAGTGTTGGTAACGTAATAATATGCCAAAATTCTAGCGACTTCAAATCTTGGGGCAGAAAGCTGGTACACCTACATGTGAGAGAATGGGTCTGCATGGTCAGTGTGTGCAGTATAAAAAAAAATCAGGAAGCCAGTGGTGCATTGTGGAAGTCCCATTTCAGTAGGCCTTGTTTACCATGTTTTGCGGTAATATAGTACAGTGGACCCCCGCATAGCGATATTAATCCGTGCAAGAGAGCTCATTGTTATGCGAAATTATCGGTATGCGAATGAATTTTCCCCATAAGAAATAATGGAAATCAAATTAATCCGTGCAAGACACCCAAAAGTATGAAAAAAAAATTTTACCACATGAAATATACATTTTCCTACACACAAAGAGAAGGATACATGCACAATAGTAGAGTAGTACATGCACAATATATATTGTGCATGTACTACTCTACTAAATGAAGAATAAATGACATTTACCTTTATTGAAGATGCAGCAATGACTGATGAGACACTGTGTCCTGGGAGTGCCTTTTCCTCCTGAGTACTGTAGGTCCTGTTTGGCATTTTCTTCCAGAACAGGCCTTATCACACTGTGTATGCCATTACGATTCTTAAATCTCTCAAACCAACCTTTGCTGGCTTTAAATTCACCAATATGAGCACTAGTTCCAGGCAGTTTTCCCTGTTCACCTGGGTGTTAGTCGACTGGTGTGGGTTGCATCCTGGGAGACAAGATTAAGGACTCCAATGGAAATAAGTTAGACAGTCTTCAATGACACTGACTTTTTTGGGTTATCCTGGGTGGCAAATCCTCTGGGGTTAATTGTTTCTTGGTATTCTCAATAAGCCACACCAACAACGGTGCTACAGCAGCAGCAGCAGCAGCAGCTGACAGTGCTACAGCAGCAGCAGACGATGCTACAGCAGCAGCAGACGGTACTACAGCAGCAGCAGACGGTACTACAGCAGCAGCAGACGGTACTACAGCAGCAGCAGCAGCAGCAGCAGCTGACGGTGGTACAACAGCAGCAGCAGCTGACAGTGCTACAGCAGCAGCAGAAGATGCTACAGCAGCAGCAGACGGTACTACAGCAGCAGCAGACGGTACTACAGCAGCAGCAGCAGCTGACGGTGGTACAACAGCAGCAGCAGCTGACAGTGCTACAGCAGCAGCAGATGATGCTACAGCAGCAGCAGACGATGCTACAGCAGCAGCAGACGGTACTACAGCAGCAGCAGCAGCTGACAGTGGTACAACAGCAGCAGCAGCTGACAGTGCTACAGCAGCAGCAGACGATGCTACAGCAGCAGCAGACGATGCTACAGCAGCAGCAGACGATGCTACAGCAGCAGCAGACGGTACTACAGCAGCAGCAGCAGCTGACGGTGCTACAGCAGCAGCAGCAGCAGCTGACGGTGCTACAGCAGCAGCAGCAGCTGACGGTGCTCAGCAGCAGCAGCCGCTGACAGTGCAGCAGCAGCAGCAGCTGATGGTGGTACAGCAGCAGCAGCAGCAGCTGACGGTGGTACAGCAGCAGCAGCAGCTGTACCACCAATAGTAGCGATGGTTGATTGGGGTTTATTATACAACCTGGCCAGCTCGGAGACACGCACTCCACTTTCATACTTATCAATGATCTTTTTCTTCATCTCTATAGTAATTCTCACCCTTATTGCTGTAGGTTTGGCACTAGAAGCTTTCTTGGGGCCCATGGTCACTTATTTTGCAGATAAAATCACCAAAAACACTGTAATAATACGAAATGTTCCGATTGTATGCTTGGATGTTACCGCGGAGGCTGGCTGGTAAACAATGCCACCGGCGGAACATGTGAGCGTAGCTCAGGCCGCACATAGACGAGTCTCAGACGAACAGCGTTGAGTGGGTTTTTTAGCGGTATGCGAGGCAAAATCTTGGCGATAAAATGTAGCGGTATGCGGATTTAACGTTATGTAAGGCCAACGGTATGCGGGGGTCCACTGTATACCTCACTCCCGGAGAATTGGAACTGTTCTCTTCCCAAGTGATAGTTCTAACATAGATGGAAGTGTCACCGAAGATGAATTTCATGGTTTTGTGGAATTTGTGACTGAAAGCAATGCCCAGGATACCAGAAATAGTGCTGAAAACCCACACGTCCATCAACCTAGGATAACTCAAAAAAGTCAAAGTGACTTATTTCCATATGGGTGGTGGGGAAGACAGCATGCTTGTTCAGGATGACAGTATGGGTAATGGGTGGTGGTGGTGGTTGTATAATGTGTCATTTGACACCAGCCATGCTCTTCTCAGCACAACAACAAAGGCTACCTTCAACCATCCACACACAAACAACCTTCCACAAGCTGTAGCAGTTCTAGGAATGTGTCCCGTGACTATATGTGTATACTGTATATATTATAGAACAATAGTAATAAACAACTTTTTTTATTGTTGGTTAATGAAAACAGATTTTGTAACCAATATATTAACAATGTTTGTGCAGTTATTGTGTTGCATACGAGTGGATATATATGCATTACACATTATACAGTGGTCCCTCGATAATCGTCGGGCTCGATAGTCATCCTTTTCGGAAATCGTCGCGTTATTTTCGTCCAAACATTGGCTCACAAATGGTCAGTTGACTCGCTAATCGTCGTTCGTCCTGGATGCGTACTCATGGCTCTGAGCCACCTCGGCCTCCCTTCCCAGCCAGTGTGCCATTGTTTACCAGTGAGCGACGGTCCCCTCACTTGGTCATACAAAATATTTTATAATATTCCATTCATTTTAGTGCTTGCAACTGCTAAATGAGCTACCATGGCTCCAAAGAAAGCTCCTAGTGCCAAGATTTTGTTAAAAAAGGTGAGAAATATGATTGAATTTAAAAAAAACATCACTGAACAATATGAAAGTGGTGTATGTGTGGCCGAACTGGCCAGGATGTATAACAAATCCCGTACAACCATATCTTCCATCATGGCCAAGAAAAAGGAAATCAAGGAAGCTGTTGTTGCAAAGGGGGTAAATATGCTGACAAAAATGAGATCACCAGTACTCGAAGATGTTGAGAAGTTATTATTGGTGTGGATAAACGAGAAACAATTAGCAGGAGATAGTCTTATGACGTCGATTATTTGTGAAAAGGCTAGGCAGTTGCATGATGATCTGGTAAGGAAATTGCCTGCAACGAGTACTGATATTTGTGAATTTAAGGCCAGCAAAGGTTGATTTGAGAGATTTGAGAACCGTAGTGGCATACACAGTGTGATACGGCATGGTGAGGCTGCCAGTTTGGACAAAATTGCAGCTACAAAATTCGTAAGTGAATTCAAGAAGTACATAGAGGCTGAAGGACTGAAACCTGAACAAGTGTTCAGTTGTGACGAAACAGGCCTCTTTTGGAAGAAAATGCCAAAGAGGACCTACATTACTCAGGAGGAAAAGGGATTGCCAGGACACAAGCCTATGAAAGACAGGCTGACGCTCATGTTCTGTGCTAATGCTAGTGGGGATTTCAAAGTGAAGCCGTTACTAGTGTACCATTCTGAAAATCCCAGAGTGTTCAGGAAAAATAATGTTATGAAGAGTAAACTGTGTGTTTTTTGGAGATCTAATAATAAGGCATGGGTCACGAGGGAAATTTTCGTCGAGTGGTTCAATGAAGTCTTTGGCCCTAGTGTGAAGATTACCTCCTGGAAAAGAAATTGGATCTCAAGTGCCTCCTAGTAATGGACAATGCACCTGCTCATCCTCCAAACTTGGATGACCTAATTCTGCAGGAGTTTGGGTTCATCACAGTAAAGTTCTTGGCCCCGAATACCACTCCTCTCCTCCAGCCCATGGACCAGCAGGTCATTTCAAACTTAAAAAACTCTACACCAAAGCAATGTTTCAAAGGTGCTTTAATGTGACCTCAGACACTCACTTGACCCTAGGAGATTTTTGGAAAGAACACTTCAGTATCCTCCATTGCATAAGCCTTATAGGTAAGGCTTGGGAGGGAGTGACTACCAGGACTTTGAACTCTGCTTGGAGAAAATTGTGGCCAGATTGTGTCTACAAGAGGGATTTTGAAGGGTTTGTGGCTGACCCTGATGAGCCTATGTCAGTTGTGAACTCTATTGTGGCACTGGGGAGTTCCACTGGGTTGGATGTGAGTTTGGAGGATGTGGAAGAGTTGGTGGAGGACCACAACGAAGAGCTAACTACTGAGGAGCTGCAAGAGCTTCAGCAGGAACAGCAACAGATCGCAGCTCAGAATCTTGCTGCAGAGGAGGAGGAAGA